AGACAGAGACAGAGACAGAGACAGAGACAGAGACAGAGACAGAGACAGAGACAGAGACAGACAGACAGGAAAAATCGGCTCAAGCTGCTCAAGTTTACTCTGCTCTTGACTTGAAAAGGGTAGGCGGAAACCAATCCTCCTTTTCTTTTGCAGTACTCGCTACTTGTTAACTCTCGCCTTTTCACGCAGCTCCCCCGCGCGATGGTAAAGCCCTTTCTGCATCAAGTGCATCTCCTTGCTCAGCTTGGGTACCAAGCAAATGCACTTGCAACCAGTCCAATTAAAAAAGAACAAGTGGCAATGGTCGATTTCGGCACCATTGCTTTCTAACTCTCGAAGGCATACAGTAGTTCGTACAGCCTCTGCGGCAAACTTTTCCCCAGTGGTGGCCAGCGGTAACAGAAGAAACAGAAGTTGAATGTAGACCTCATCTCAGGGCACAACAAGGACGCTCTAAGTGATTGCGCTGGTTGCTACCTCTTGGTTCTGGCGCACAAAGCTCTGGAAACCGTTGAAGCTGATGCCACCTTAATAAAAATGACTGAGCCAGGATGTCAGGAGGATCTCAATTGTTTGCGCCATCAGTTTGCTGAGCTAAGCTTCTGGCTTTTGACAGAGGTCCTCAAGCTGGCCTGGGTAGACTTATTGTTGCAAACTCTCTTGCAAGCCCAAAGGCTCCCAAAAGGTATCAACATTCAATCAAATTAGTATAGTCAAAAGCCCCTGAGCTTTCCGGTCTTCAAGGGACACGAGAAAAGCAACTTGTGATAAAGAAGGAACAGCATACCGGCCTCGCTCCGAGCAAGGGCAGCGAACACAAACCTGATGTCCAAAGGCATCATATGCAGGACGTGTTTGCCGAGGATAAAAACAGCAGGTACAGTATGCACAATGGTTTGAGGGCCTGGCTCTGCTACGCCTTGGACGTCTTGTTCCAACTTTTCTTGTTCGCCTGCTCCTTTTTCTTCAAAGAAGTTTCGAACTGATTGAAATACGCTTTCTTTTGTCAAAGGCTTCTGCGAGGCATCATCTTTAAACCGCAAAGCTGCTCCAGCATCATGGCTTACTCCCTCATAACCAGTCACGGCACAAAACACAATCCGGCATAGCAGCTCTGATGAGACATGTCGAAAGCTTCCTTGAGACGGCTCGGGATTCAAAGCTTTCACAAAGCGGTAGAATACTTCAAATGGAAGGGTTGTCAGAAGCTGCCACGCTTCTTCCTTCTCATCTTCATGCTCAGTCTCCAGGACTCTTTTTCGGGATGCACAAGGCACAGACAAAAAGAGATGCTTGGCAACACGTTCCACAGTTTCTCGGCGGCGCACACCAAATATTGCAAGAAAGGAGCTGAAATTTTTGAAAGTCATTTGAGTAGGCGCTACTGAGTTTAAAATCTCCACTCGAGCTCGAGCTATTTCCTCAAATGCAGACTTGGATCTATTGATGCCTTCTTCCTTGGCCTTGTTCCAGAGGATCTTGGATTTCATCATTGCCAGGCTACTGCTCCTCAACATGACTTGATTCAAGTTCAAGTCTTTCAAGCTTGTTGGATATTCCGCTTCATCTTCTGTGGTGCCAGTTTCAGAGCTTGTTGCACTGCTGACATTCCCCTCCTCTGCAAAAACATCCCAAACTCCCATGTCAAATACCCTTTTGTTAAGCTTCTTCATGTACCGTGATGTGACGTCTCTAACATTGCGAGCAGAGAGGCGTCTGGGGACTGTCTCAGTCTGACCTGAAGCAGCTGAGGTTTTCACAGTCTGTCCAGATTGTGGTTCCGAATTGAAGTTCTGCTGTAAATTCCAAATAAACTTAAAGCTTTCCAACCATGCGGTGAAGGACTCATCATTGAGATTTTGAGCTTTGAGGCGATGCGCAAGATCTAGTTGGCCAGCACCAACACCTGCCAAGCCAGCTTCCTTGAGCACATTCCGTGTCTTCTGCAACTCACATCGCTCTTCTTCCAAAATTGCATCTTTGCACTGTCTGCGAAGCACTCGTACGATCTCGGGGCGTTTCAAGCTCGGTGCTGAGCAAGGTCGCGACAGCGCCACGCATCCCTTTGATCTCCTTGTGCTTTTTGTGCTGATCCGGGATGCAGTGGACACAACACATGAAGGAGGGCTTGGAGGAGACACATCCTCTCGCCGTTCTGGCAAGGATGGAAGCACTATTTCATCAGGGGCATCTGAAAAGTGCTGAAATATCCGAAACCACTGGTGAACCAACTCGATTGGGTCTTCATGGGTCACAACCAGGTCATGAAGTAGGTCATCTGTGAGTTTTTTGTCTTCGCTTGCGCACTTTCAAAGCACCGGAATCAGATGAATGAGCAACTTGGCGCCACAAAATTGCAGTACTTCCCTGGGCACCTGCTTGCACTAATCTTGCTGCGCTCTCCTTCTTTCTCTTACTTGGCTTGGAACCTTGCGGCTCTGCCGTTGCAAGCTGATATCGTCCTGTTGCTCTGAGAGCCACATTGCGGCCAAACTCATATTCATAGCTATCTAAGCCAAGCACAAATGGAAAGGAGTAAATTGCACCTTTGGGAAGCACTGACAGTGGCATCCTCTTTTCGGGCTTCTCCACTTTTGTGGTGCCCTTGGATGGGCTGCGGCTCCCTTTGGCACTGTCATCACACTGTCTCAAATGAAGCATTCGATTCCTCCAAAGAACATGTAGAACGCAAGTACTTGTAGTACATACAAAAACCATTAAAAACACCAGCAATGTCTTGTTGTTCGAAGTAAATGCATCCATTGTAAAGTTTGTCATGTGTCTGTGTGTGTGTTGTCGCAGTTCATGGTGTCATGCTCTAGGTCCATTTGAGCTAGCTCAAACCAATAAGCTACAAAAGAAGCCAAGGAATCTATGGAATTTATGGCACGTGCCAGTGCTTGCAAGACGCCACCACAGAATCTTAGGGCGGGTCTCAGACTGAATATGATGGTTTGCCAAGCCGCAAAAGCTGCCCAAAACGATACGAAGAACAAGATGAAGCCCATGAACCCAAATCCAAACCACTCTTACATGACATGACACTTTTGTGGAACACTCTTGTAGACACTCTTGCTTGGCACTGTTTGCATGACACTCTTGTAAGAAACCCTTGGGCGACACACTTGTGCGACGCTCTTCTGGTACCATTCTAAGACACTGTTGTGGGACGCTGTTGTGGGACGCTCTTGTCAAGCAGGACGCTCTTGTCGACACTCTTGCCCGACACTCTTGTTGGACATGTTGCGGCGTGATACTCTTGTTCGACACTCTTGAGCGACACTCTGACTCTATTGTCCAATTTCAGGAAAATTTGTGCCACGCTCTTGCTTGACACACTTCTGGGTCACTTTGGCGCGACACTCTTCAGGCGAATCTACCACGTCACCAGGCCAGCCCATCCAAGACCTCCTCCAAAAGCTTTTCCAATGAGAGGGCCATAGCGCGACACCCGGCAACGCTGACAACAGTTGCGAACGGTTCTGCCACGTCATGCGAACACAGCTCTGACGAGACCGCTTCACGAGACTAGTCCGTCTTGATATGGGCCTCAGCATCTACAATCACATCCATCTCTCCTGGCACACAATTCTGCACCAAAAGACACGTTGTTGTTTCTCTACTTGAACTGTCTTAAAGCCCACCTCCAAGTACGAGGACAGGTTTGGTACAAACTGGAACTGGCAAAGACCTCCACAAACTTCAAGCTGCGGTTCAAAATTGCACAATTCTGGTTGCAAACACAGGGCTTGTACATCAAGTTGCCAAACATGTATTCACCGAAACCGTGATCACATGTGCGAGTTCAGTTCATTCAATTCTCTTGCGCAGCTACAAATTGTAAAAGCCGCAAGCAGGTTCCGTTTTAACTGAAAGCAAGTGGCCCCTGGAGCTGTCGCAAATCCAGTAAACGAGTTCCAGGCGGACATCCTGCAAAACTTCACACACCGCGAACTCTGCAATCAAAGTAGCCCAGACTTTGCTTTTTGATAGCAATGATGTTGAAAAAATTGCTTGATCTTGTGTCCTTTCTTCATGAGCTCCATGTAATCTCCAACATCTGCCAAAGACGTCTCTTTGTCGAAGAAAAGCTGCAAGCGCAACGATGCATTTGCTATTCTTATGATTCCTATCTTGAAATCTCCAAATGGGACTACTGATTAGGTTCACTAGGTATTGTGGATGGCCATGACATACTACTGTACTACTGTAGAATACATCTCACAATCGAAAAGAAAAAAGGAGAAACTGTAGAGTCTTCAAGCGTGCCTCCTGGCAAAGTTTTGCATCACGTTCAAAGGCACGGCTTATGAAGCCCCATGTGATGCGAAAGGCTTGGAGAGGAGCTCGAAGCAGACTTCGTAGAATGATACCAACATTTCCACTGGGAGGCACACTGCACAATAGGACAAGCCCAGCAAGCATGTCGAGATCTGCCGCAGCCTTTAGGGTAATCAGACCTCCAAAGCTGTGGCCTAGCAAAATGACTCGTTGACCTTCCTTTTCCAGCTCCCGCACAAAGGAAGCAACATCAGAAGCATGCTCCTCCAAAGTGCCTGCAACGGGGAGCTGATCTGGCATCTTGCCTTGTCCTTGTCCTCTTAACGAAAGTGCATATGCATTCAAGCCATGCTCCCGAAAGAAGTCTAAATAAAATGCCTCATAGCACCAAGCGGCATGATAGCTACCATGGATACAAACAAGGCTTACCCTGCTGACTGAGTCTTTTGCTTTACCGCCAAGAACTTCCAATGCAACTTTGTCATTGGGAAGAGTGAAGAGATCGTCAGTCAACACAGTGCGTTCAACTCGCTTGCGGTTCCTGGCCCTGAACCTTTTCAGTGAGCGGTACATCTTGATAGCCACAATGCCGACGGCTGTGGCGCTCCCTGATGATCGCCAGCAAAAGTGTGGATTCGTTTGGTATGCCTTCATGGGGGGAATACTTGGAGTCAAAGATCCGTCGAGCGATGGAGCGCTCATCCGAATCGCCAGCGCCATGGTCGCGAGGCTCAGCTTTGTCTGGTATGCACACACAAGCTAGTTCACAAGCAAGCAAACCAGCCCTTCATGAATGACGAGAGGTGTTTTGCACTACCGTTGCATGATTGCATTTGAGGCATTACTAGTTGGGCTTCCAGGTCCCCTCAAGTGCCCTACAGGTCATGCAAGCCAAAATGTCAAGCCGAATCGAAGTTGAAGCATAAAAGCACGGACATGGGACAATCCAGGCCCACAACCTTTCCACGATACATCAAGCTGACGGAATTTGGCCACATAAAAAGAATGGCACTATGTACACACTCGGGAAGAGTGCTAGGGCAAACAATCAAACCGGATACATCTAGGTCTCAGAAGCTTCAGAAGTCTGAGGCAGCAATTTCCTGTGCACAGAAAGAAGCTAGACAACATGAAAGGTATTCGTTGAGTCATTGAAACTCCGCCTCGCAGCGAAGAGTGTAAGCCAGACAAAGTAGTGTTATCAAACATCAGTTGGTGAGGAGCAATGTTGTTGTAGTGATGCTGTAAATGCACATTGACATGAATAATGAATTAACCAGTAGCATCATCAAAAAAACATGATACAAAATGCCAATTGTTCTGCAATCCACAATTTTCATTCTATGTAGTGCAAAGCAACCAAAAATACCCAATCAACATAATAGACGGTTTGAAGCTACAGGGTACATCTGCTCTGTACGACTGATGCTGCCAGCTAACGGACATGATTTGAACAAGAGCTACTTGTGTGGGATGACGGTTTTGTTTGATGCGTGCATCCTTCCAACATTGATGACAAAGTTGCCAAAAGACTTGGCGAATCCTTTCTCCTTGAGAGATGCATGGGGACCAAGTGGAAGAGATGCGAGGGTTGAGACTTGACTAGACAAATTTGTAAGCCTCAAGAAACTTTCGCACCAATGCACAAGTCACGAGTCAAAGAATGCTGCTCACTCAAAAATGAACAAGGTGCAACGGTGCAACGCACAGTGTGTTTATGGTGCACTTTCAATGTTCAAAACCTACACCGGCCCCCAGTAGCAAAGCTTCATGTTGATTAGCGGCATACAACCAAAGCACCAAAGGGCCGCCTATTTTCAAGGAGATCAAAACAACAAAGCAACCCAGGAAGGTATACTACCTCAGAAGAGCAGGGGGGCAAAAAGATTGCCACACTCCTGTCGAAGCTGTTTCTGCTGTGTAGGGGGGCTCTCTTGCCGCACAGTGATGTGAATACCAAAACAAAGCAATCCAATATCTGAGTGTGTTGTGCCTCAACTGCCATGGCAATGCGCGCTGCACGCGCAGCATAAACTGAAGGTCAACCTCCTCTGCAATGTGTACAGCTGGAGACCTGCAAAGACTAATTTCTGCATGAACTGCCAAAGGAAGGCAAGGACACACTTGTCAAACTTTTCATTAAATTTATTTAACGTTGCGAGCTGCTGCGAGCCGCCTCAGTTCAGGATCACGTCGAAGCCATGCACCTGCTCGCATACGTCCATCATGAGAGCCGGCAAGTCGGTAAAATGGCCTTGTGAGGGTCAAAAGAATCCAGTCTAAAACATGGTATGTGTTTACATGATACATGTAATATAGGATAATATGCATGGCCAAAACCGCCAAACAGGTGCCAAGTGCCAAGGTACGTGAACCATTCGCTTTTCATACATAACCTCAAGAGCATGGAATCTCTTGATATTGTACAGGCGAAATCTCCGCATCTGTTTCACAACAAGTTCTTGGCACCAAGCATATCGAAAGCAACGAACGCACGGCGCAGTTCGAGTGGCATCCATTCCTTTTTGAGAACCTGCGGAACAGTTCCACCAGCAAGAAGGTCATAGAAAAAACATGCAAAGGCAGTGAGTGGTAGCCAATGCTCTGCTCAACAGATACAACCAAAAGGGCTGGATTGGAAGGAGCAGAGCATTTTTTAATGATACGGCGACCACCGAGATCTACACAACACGTCAAGCACACAACAGTCATGCTCGAAAGGACAAAGTGGCCTGTTGGACATCTCGCTTTCTCTTCCTCAAGTACTGCTCAAAACCAATGAACCGCCGCCTGAAGTCCTTCAGTGCATTGTGGTTAAGAACAAGCTTTGATGCATGTGCGCATGTCAGACCAAAATTCGTGAACTTTTAAAATAGTGGCACAAGGAGACCAAAGCAAGACCAACACCAATTTGGAAACACAAGGACCAGGAAAACCATACATATATAAACTTCTAGAGAGATGATTCCTCTGTGAGTTGAAACTGTTTCATGTGGGAGTACAAAAATAGAACGCGCATAGAAGCTGCTGATGCATTTCCCAACTGGCCCTCGAAGGCCTTGAGAAGCTGTTGGAAAAGAAAGAGAGCTTGGATTTTTTGGGGCTGAAGTTGAAAGAGTTTGGAATGTGTTTGGTTGTGGACCATGCCCTCTTACCAACAAATTATGAGACCAAATTGTTCAATCACTTTCACCTTCACCACCTCAATCCACGTTGCGCACAAATGGCGAGATGGAGCCTGATGGCGCTGCCACCTATGCAGGAGCTGTGGAGGGAGGGAGAAAGGAAAGAAGGCAAGAACCACCACAGGGAACCTGGATTCGGGTACGGCCCTTGCCTTGGCTCCACTGTATTCAGGAACAGTTGAAGGCATCAAGAGACGCTGTCCGAAAGGCTGACAGGTCCCGAAAGGCTGACAGGTCTTCGGTATGCTTGCGCCGCCTGCCTTATCAGGAACCTCAGGGCCAGGACACCACATGATCAAGCGGCCTGACTTCTTGAAGGAAGAGGAGAAAAGCTATGGAAGAGGGAAGGAGCAAAGATGGGAAGTCAAGCGAAGAGGAAGGAGGAGTCTTTATCGCCCACCACCAGAACATTTCAGGATCGACTTCGTGAAGAAAAAGAAAACGCAGATCTCCCAGGAAGTCAAGGCCTTGACGGAATTTTGTCGCTCAAAGCAGGAAGAGAACGATCTACTGCGTCAAGAACTCTATGAAAGAAGGATCGTTGAAGAGGTTGAGAAAGAATGGAAAAAAGAAGGATTGACCCCTTTGAACGACTTCCACCTACAATACCTCCCGCATGGTCTGGTCCTATCGACAGGCCGCCTATGGTGGAAAGGTCTATGGGAAGGCATCTATGTCCGGCAAAGAAAAAAAATTGTTGGGAACAAATGGAGGTCATTATACACTGAGTCATGACCCTACTCTACTGGTTGAGAGCATGAAACTCTTTCAACGGCAGATTTCTGAAGGGCATGACTCACAGTGCACCATCAAAGGGCAGTCGTCTGCCAAGTTGCACAACTTCCAACTTTGGGTCAATCCAAGGAAGTACCGCACAACTACAGTTAGGGGGTTGGCTACTTCTGGCGCAACCAGTGGTTGCTGACTTGACGGCCGACCTCTGGTGGGATCAGACTTTGAAGGAGGTGGAACTTGCTGATCAAAACCGGACATGTCAAGTACAAGTACAACGAGTACTATCTGGCTCAAAAGGCCATGTCTGGAGTCATTACAACGCTGGGGGGTTGCGCCATGATTCAATGATGGAGTGTTGAGGAAAATGAAAACGATGACACATGACGATCAACAGTACTTCACGCAGTCCGCAGCAGAACCGAATCTATGGGCCCTATGAAGATGATGATAACAAAGAGAGGGGAGACTTGAAGAGATATCTGCCGGCGCATGTCGACGACCCTTCAAAAGAAATAGGCACCAAAAAAAAGGTTGGGTCTAGCTGGCCAAGAGGTCTGGAGGTTTTCACGGACTCCAGGTTCGCCGCCAACGCTGAGACGCAGGCATCTCACGGCTCCGTTGTGGTGACTCCTGGAACGGAGTGATAATGTTCCGGAAGAATGGGAAACAACCGCTCCCAGCTCTCAACAGCTGAATCTGAACTCCTGGAGGCGATTGAAGGACTTCAAACAAGAGACGCTGTTGACTGCTTGATAAATGAGCATGAGGACCGTTGTTGTTTTCTTGTATGGGTCCTTACAAGAAAACAACAACGTTCATTGGAAATCACGTTCAGTGGCGCATCGCAAATCTTGATTGGAGGGCGCGTCACGTACCTGGATCAATCATGATTGCCGACCTCGGCACCAAGGCCCTCACGATCCAAACGGGAGCTGAAGGAGCTCATGATGATGGTTCTCCAAGAAGAGGGTGAAGGAAGATTTCACGAGGAAGGCCCAGAGGCAGCAAGATTCAAAGACGACGTGGGCAATGAAGTTTGAAAAGGAAGATTTAAAGGTGATGATCCTGCACAGACGATCTTGGTCATCCTCGCCACCCTGGCTGTGCGTCACCTGCTGATGTGGCTTGCGGCTCCAAGACAACGTGGCGCTGAGGACCTCCAGAACCTCGACCGCCCACCAAGGTCCTAGGTTCAAGAGGAACAGCAGCTGATGTGGATCATTGCTGCATGGACGCCGGAACAGCGTATGGAAGCCGGACTCAATGAGCCTCTGCTGAGTTCAAGTCCAATCTACAGTCCCTTGCTCTGATGTCAGCCTGGGAAGAACTTAGGAAGAACCGGAACTAACAAGAGGCTGTTCAGGAGGAAGAGACGCTATACAATCCTACAGAGAAGGACTACCGGGATATCAGAGCTGACGAAAGTTGGGATCCAAACTCATCGAGTCCACACCGGAATGAACCCTCACAAGCCGCAGCCAAGACTATTCCAAGAGTCGTTTAACCTGCGGGGGCTCTGTCGACTGTCACCTTGAGGTTTTGTGTTTTGAGGAATTCACCATGCCAGGCAAGGAATCTGGCGCCGAGGCTGGGCCGAAATCTATCAGCAGGACGCTCCGAATCCTCCATCTTGCGCCACTGGTGGTGAATAGCGCAACAGTTGAGGAACAGGAGCCTCAACATGTGAAGATGAAGGTGAGGAGGGGGATAAGCAGAAAAAGAAAAAGGGAATCAAGAGATTCCTAAAGCCAGCTGCGTTTTTCCACAAGGCCTGGTTGGTGCACTACGGATGATATGATAACCACAAGGGTTGGTGAAGCACCGAATGACTTGGATGCTTGGGTTGAGCTGCTTGGTGCCACAAGGCCGGGCTGCGGAAAGAAAAGAGGAGTTGCTTGACTGGAAGTGACGCGTGCCTCAGTTACGCACCAGTGTAGGAGGGAACATTGTTTTGTGCGTCACAATGGTTTTGACTAATTGCCGGCGAACGAACGCTGCGAAGAACAAAAGGGTTTGGGCTGATGAACGGTTGAAGTGTCCGATCAACGGGTGGTACAATAGCTCCAAAGAAGCTAAGGGGAGTGCTGGTGCATTTCCCGAGACGTTTGCTTTCATGCGGGTCATCGCATTTGCAGCCCTTTTTACGTTTCAAGAGGGAAGAAAATTCCCAACTGGCCCTCGAAGGCCTTGAGAAGCTGCTGGAAAACAAATAGAGCTTGGACGTTTGGGACTGGAGAGTTTGGAATGTTTTTGGGTGTGGACAATGCCCTCTTGCCAACAACAAACAGGTGCAGAGTTTTTTGGGATGCAGTAAAGTTCCAGCACCGAAACTATTACACAAAGCAAAAAATAATCTTTGTTCTCGTCGCTTGTCCTCCAAAAGCTGCTTTTGCAACTCCACTCGCTTTTCCGGGCTCAAAGTCTCCAGCTCTTTGCCCAACGTGGGTACCGAGCAGGGCCTGAGTGCCCCGAATTCAACCAATCAGCAAAAAAACAGTTCTTTTAGCCGCACGCCAAATCTTAGAGTCAGGTGTGAGGTTTACTGTGTGTATACAAGCCTGAGGTTTCTTAATTTGTTCTACTTAGCAGGGGGGCAAGGTCTCCAGCGAATTGTCCAACGAAGCTATAGTGATGGACAACAACTTGGAACAAAAAAGTTTTTCCAAAATCCAAAGCCCTTTACTTGGAATCAAAAGCCATGCCTGCAAAAAATCCAGGCTTAGATATATTGCCATGTTCCTAGTGTTTGTGTTAGAACATGCCCAACCCCGTGTCTTAGAACACCTGCGTCACTTAGAACATCATTGTTAGTTAAGCATGCTTAGAGAGTCACAGAGTTTATTCATCAACTGTGCACTCTCTCGTGTTCATATCCCTTCTGAAAGGACAATTTTCCTGAATGTTCTAACTCATTACTCGGAACGTTACATTGTTACAATGTTCTTAGCCTTACGCTTAGAACATCCCTTAACAGGGCAACTGTTGAAAATGTGTCTTTCCAAGCGATGTTCTAAGTGGTTGTCCCTCGCTATAAACCGCTGGAGGGCAAGCGGATGGAGACGTCCATTCGTGTACCCGCTATGTTTGTGAGTGGTGTAATCACCTTCCACTCGTAGAGGTTCTCAGGGTGTTGCAAGACGATTCAGGTCTGCAAATGTGCACTCGCCGCTCGCTCTCACCGTTTCTCAATCATGTGGCAATTCTTTGGAACTTGAAGACTTGGGTTTTGAAAACTTTTAGAAAAATTGGAACTTTCGGCTCCTCGGGATGGTTGGAGCGCTTTGCATTGTCTCCGTTTCCTCAGGCCCCTTTTTTTCACTTATATAGGCTTCCGTGTGGCATGCGGCATTCATATAGTTCGTACTTTTATCCTGAGTGTGTCTGCCGCACAGTCTTCAAGAAGCAATGTGGAACATTGCAGACATTGGTTTGCGACCAGCTGCACATTGTTCAGCTACACATGACACACTATATGTTATCCATTCATATGTTGTATTGGTCAAGACTGGCTCAGCAATAGAGTGGGTTTATATGCTGGAGCGAACATGTCCTTGTTGGGCATTCTCTGAAAGCTAATGGAGATTAATGGTATTCCCTATGGGACTTACAAGCCTGCATGCATCATTTTGGCCGCAATCCCTTGATTCGTTTGAGGGGCCTAGACCCCGCACCTAACGTGGCATCGTAACTAACCAGACATTCTTGGACCTTGCGGCCTTGCACTATTCAGGAGGACTCGGCTGAAATCTTCAATTGCGCTTTGCTTGATACTTGAGACATCCTCTGTAACTGACATGGGAAATTTCCTCGGGCATGCAGAAAAAAAGGGCAGAGGGTTACACGGGGATACTCCTAATTGTTGTGTTGCATAGGATTTGCGCATCTGACACACGCGAAGCTGTCATATTTACATACATCTGCACAACACCCACGTGTGAACATAGAGAAGATAAAAGTCTTGAATCTTGAAGATTAAGTACAGATGGACAAATGATGCAAACCACGGCACAAAAACAAAAATAACTAAGTATCTAACAAACCCACGAGAATCAGCTGTTTGTTTATCCTGTCTTTTCGATGCTTTTCTGTGGCCAACTTTTTGCATAGTCGCTTTGCTTTGTTTCCTTCTGTTTGCTTAATTTTCTGAGTGACTGCTGTGCTTTCTCAGAACCCAGATATTGTTCAATTTAGGGCATTGTGTCTAAAACGGCCTTAGTTCCATCCTTCGGTAAGCCCACAACGTCCAGAAACAGCCGCTGAGGAGGCCAACCCTCAATGATTTGTAGAGCGTTTTGCCCTTGGAGAGGTGAGTTCACTTGCAATGACAACCAAAGACCATCAAGAATGGTAAAAAAAAATAGAAAGTGAGAGTGAATGAGAGGTGGCCTGTTGACCAAAGAAATGTCTTGACCCATTCAGTTGGCGAAATTGTCAGCAATTCAGGGTTGACATGCTTTGTGTACTGTAAATGTCAGAGAGGGTTTGTTATACGGCAGAGATATGACCACCCGCTTGCCTCCCAAGCGATGTGCCTCCCAAATGAAACCCTAGATGGGACAGGGGCTGGGATGTCACAGGCGCCTGCTAGATCACAAGATAAACAATGCAATTCATCATGCAGGACGAACACACTAGCACCAGTATTCTGAGCATGTATATCCCGCGTAACTTAGATAGATAATGTCTAATATATAGGTGGAAACACCAAAGAACAAAGCTAACAAACTCCTTTTTCCAAGCTCCGCCTGCCTCCCACTGATGCTGGGAAATCCAATAAAGAACTTCCTGTACGCAATGTTGATCTCTTTCCTGTTGGGTCATGAATGTGCTCAGATCCTCTCCTGAACAGCTGTGAACGAACGAGCCTTAAAGGGAATAAGGTTTCTTGTTGCTCTCGGATAATCTCCTTGAGAGCCTTCTCCAACATGTTGCTCCTCTGCATGAGTACAGACAGAAAGAATCTCCAATCAATTGCAACTGCGCCCCAAACACATCAGAATCAAGGCCCTTGTCAATATTGTTCTGCACAAAGGACCAGATAACTCAATTCATTGAATGCTCATTGAAGCAACTCAAAAGAGATGAATTCGCACTCTCCTTGGATATTTCTGCACAACCTTTTTGGTGCCACCTGGCTCAAGTACATTGTTGCGGTAGTTTGACACTGGCTCTTTTCCAATTCACTTGCAAGTGTCCTTGAATAGAAGGCCACCTTGCTGAAGCGTGTGCAGCGTCAGTTTGGTGTCTAAAACACCCGCCTTAGATGAACAACGCACACTAAACCCCGACTATTCGCCCAATCATGCATTGATCATGCCCCAATGTGTTCAAAGCAGCAGTCACCCGCAGGCTTTGGGGCCTGCATAGATGGCAATGCAAATGCGGGTGTTAACGTACAGTAGTTCTTTTGTGCATAGAGTCATTGGTTTCCTTGACTGAGATGGGGTCATTTCAGTGAAAAAGCTGTTTGCAAGACCAAAACCTATCACTTGCAATACAAAACTACAGAACTGGCGTCTCAGACCGTCTTGACAGCACGATCTAGATACGGTTGGATCGACTTTCTTCCACCGCATCGGTTCAAGGTAACGAATCGTATCACACAACAGGTGCGGATGGAGCAAAGTGTGATGAAACAACGCGCTGTTTATGCTAGAGCCAAGTTGCAACCACAGAAAACAGCACATACAACAGAAAACACTGAAAGGAGATTGAATTCTTGAAACAATCGGGAACGGTGTGACGCTGAATATGCACGAGGGCAACACAAAGACATGGCTGGATTCAGTATGGCTGGTGGATTCAGTATGGCTGGTGATGTCTGAGTCGTTGAATCGGTGAACTTGAACAACCAAAACTCCAGACATGAGAGTACGGCAACCGGCAACGTGTTTGACCAATGCAGACCCACAGAGTTGTTGATTGTGTTTGGCACCAACAGCGAACAAAACATTGATCGCGAGAAGCACCCTTCGAAGGCTGGGTATTGAACATGTTAAACCTGGCTTTCGAGAACCAGCGGAAAACACAGGCCGCAGGCCGTTGAAGTGGAACAAAAGCGACATCTCTGCGGGAACAAAGCAAACATTCCGAAGTGCACCTTTGAAACATGCGACTAAACGACGCGGCGTATCTGCGTGAAGGCTTGCACAAAGCGAGCATTCCAAGCGACACATGGCAGCACCCGTCAAGAATTGTGTCGCAGCAGCCTTGAGGCTGCCAGCGGGGCGATTACAGTAATGGGTAGTGTCGATGTCCATTCTAGCATGGCCCAGTCATTCATAGTTTCGGTGACAAGCGATATGTGGTCCCGGTTGACTCAACTAACACCAGAAGTTTCACCATGCCCAATGCCCAGCCCTTTGGACTCTAAAGATTCCAAACGTTTCATGCTCTCGTGCAAGTCGAATAGGCAAGCGCTAAGGATCTCCAAAAAACGCTACACCGAAAACATCCGTTTCAGGACCTACGCTTAGGGAAGAGCGCTCCAACAAGGTCACACCCGGCGAACTCTTGGGGCGAGGCCGGCGAGGCCGAGGCAAAGATCTGAACAGCCCTTTGCTCCGTTCATAGCGATGTCATGCTCCTATAGTAGTAAGGCCAGGAGCCCCTAGCAGCGTCCTTACTCCTAGTAGCAATGCCCTTTGTTCTTAGTAGCGTTCTTGCCAAAAGCAAAACATGAAGAAATCTCTGCGCGATCGGGTAAACACTCGACTGTGCCATCGAGCAAGTCACTCACCGCGTTCATTTTGCCAAACCTGCAATGTTCTGCTCAATGTATCTTGTGCTCTCCGTCAGCATCTCCAACAGCATACTGTATCATGCCCTAAGGTTTTTGGGACATAGAATAAGCACAGCGGACTCTCCCAATTGCTCAATTTTGGGAGCAAGTTACCCAACACCCAAATTCAGTCGGGTCATATGGAGGACCCTCCGGAAGCTATTTGATCGTTCGTTGAAACCTGGGTTCCAACAATCTACTCATCAAGAGTTCAGCACTCAGCTTCACCATCGGTTTTCCAGCAACTGACTAGCTGACTAGCTCTATCGCATATGACCTTCCCCACAACCCTTCGCACGATTCAAATGACCCCATCTGAACCAATGACACATTTTGGCCACCTGTAAGTAAGGTTCAAACTGTATGTTTGAGGGGGATGGAAGAGAAAGTAGTTGGAGGATGTTGGTTTGACTCGCTGAAAGCCTCCCAGATGGTCAAAAGGATATCATTTGACTCAGTGGAAGGCCCCAGATGGTCCACATCAAACGTGGAGCATCGGAGGCTTTCGCTGTGCCTTAGACAGAGCCTATGGAGGTGCCATTGGAAGTTCTTGCCACAAAAGTGCTGGACAGGGAGGAAGGGTGGGGAGGATGGTTATTTTCCCGCAAACCACAAAAGGAAGATGTTGCCAAGTGCCAAGTTGCCACTGGACATTTCAAGTAGCGTGTAAGTTCGGATTGGCACCAAAACAACCCAAGACCACACGGTGGGCGGCAGCAGCAGAAGCAGCAAACTAAAAGGGACCTGCTCTGCCCTGTAGGGCTCCCACATCCAAGCAGCATACCCAGCGGTCATGGGACTGGTCCAGTCAAAGGCTGGGTAATGGGCAATGCGAAGGCGAGACGGATTGCAACTTCCCAGCTGCAGAATCCAAGATCTGTGACTGTGTTTCACGTTCACGAGCGAGCGAGCAAGCGAGTGACTGACTGACTGAGTGAGCGAGTGAGAGGGCGCAGATAAAAGTAAGAACCACATACAAAGATGTGGGGAGAATCAATCACAAAGCCGTAAGAAAGGACGCACTTCCAGCAATCCTCCATTGGGTATGCAGGTGCAATGAAGCCTTGTTGTATGGAAAGAACTGAATGGACATGACTCGCCTGTCAAAGTTCTCATGCTTGTCAATGGCAGCTGCGATCTTTCCCGCATCAAACTCCTTAGGAACTCAACTTCTGTCAACAAGTGCGAGACTCGTTCGCAGACTCCAAAAGGAACTTGGTGGAAACTTGTCTGCAAGCGTTCTAATCTGCCACATCTGCCACCACGCATCAGACAAGCTTGGCACTTTCATTCGCAACTCGCGCTCTATTTCATGCCTGGAAACAGCACAAGCCCTGAGAACTAGAAATAACAAGCACAAGCTCTAAATGGATAGTTGACCAAAATCAAGGCGCAAAGCGCCTTCGGGCATAGCTTTGCTTGATGTCAGCATCTCGCTTCATGCCTCAAAGGAGTAAAGCAACGCCAGCAACGCACAACGCATAGGTTTGTTGATGTGTCTCTGTTTAATTTCCTAGCCTCGCAATCTCATACTGAAGTCGTAGAAGCGAATGAGAACCAGTGCAGGAATCAGCATCACTGCAACTGGACAGGGGCAATTCTGCCGAGGCCATGAAAAACCAAACTGAAAGAAGTTTGATATATACATATACATATCCGTAGGTGTATACATATATATATACATGCATATCCTACGAAAGTCACAAGCTTTAGAGGCCAAAATGTTTTTGCAAAAGGGATCAAAAGGGTGTACAGTGTATATGGGATAGGCAAAATTATGCAATTGAAAAAGACCTCTTTTCGTGGGCTTTATGGGCGCAAGATGTGCATTTGTCGAACCAGGTACCTAATACCTTCAACACAGACCATTCCCATCATTTGCAATGTAACTTTCCACTTCCTACAAAGCTGAAAGGCTAAATAAAGCCACTCACTCGGCTTTCTTAAAGTACGCATTTCCGGGAGGGAGGAGGACAAGAACTTTCCAGTTATATATATATATATGTATATTGGTTCACTGACGTAGGCGGCATGCAAAGCATTCTCGGAACTCAAGAAACACACCAATTCAATTGGAAGCCAACGCTTTTTTGCACGAAGGACCCACCTCCCTTGACAAGACGGCAGCAGCTCCCTGCCCTCCTGCCTGCCCAAGAAACTATATAAATTCTCTCTTGCATGCTTCCACTGTTCCACACTTTCAAAGGCCCAGCAAGGGTAGACAAAGATCTGTCTTCACACAAAAAGAAACAAGTCAACGAACCACACAGCATAAAGAAGAGGAATAGTAAAGCGGGGTGCCTTCACTTTTGTCCCTTTGCGCAATACCTCGCTTAGAAAATCAACAGCCTGCAAGCTGCAAACCAAAGCTGGGACAAGCGACCTGTTGATGTGTCTTTGCAGCCGCCTGACGAATCTGACGTCTGGGGAAATCTAGAGACTGCAACCTGGCTTTAAGCAAGTCTTGCCTGCATTGCCGGCAGGTGTTGGAAGGTAGAGGTCCGGAGCATCATCCTTTCAAACATTCGAAGACCTAAAGAATGAAAACCTATGTTCAAGCAAGGTCTGAAGCGAAGCGAAGCCAGAAAGGCTCCTTTAGTAAAGCTGCAGCTGCATTGCCGGCCATTGAAAAAAGTAACAAAAACGCCTTTGGCCTTCTCTTCTTGAACAGGATGTTCTTGAGGCCATTGTGTGCTGTGCGATGTAATTCTTATTTGCTCAACTCAACACTTGGGTTCGCTGTTGGCTTTCTTCTCACCTTCTTGTTATCATCCACTCGCTTGTGTCGTTGAAACTGAAGCGCTGGCCATGCTACAATGCGTTAGCTTTCTTCGGTTGAAGACTCTGATTGAATCAATCTTCAAGCAACTCGCTTATCGCCTTGTCATTCTCCACGTCAAAGAAGAACATTGCGGGTTGCTTGTCACCCGCTTGAGGATGATTGTATATATATATATATACAGGTCGTTGAATTGTTTGTTTGTTCCGTCTTACCCACACATCCTATGGAACATGTACAACTAAATCAGTCGATAGAGCAGTAGTTTCAGAAGGCAACCTTCAGGTGCCAGCTGTGTTCAAGAGAAACACCAAAGCCCTTCCACTGTCTTTGTGAGCAACCAAGAACTGAAATTTTGTGCTTAGCGTCAACCGTGATCAGTGGCAGAAAGTTTGCCGTTCAACTCAAGGAGGCACAAGGCTTCTTCCAACAGAAGCACGGACCAATGGACTACCGGGTTCTACTGTGTTTCTTGGGGCCCACAAAGCCAGTACCTGAAGGTGTGTAAACTTGCCTGTTCCCTCTTGATACATTGAATACTGTACACCGTACACCTCAAATCCTCGAATGTTCTACTACTGAAGTGTCAGATAAGAAATCTCAAAGTAATGGATTGGAACATTTGTACCAGTGCGCAATATCCGCTCCCCGCCAACCGGCTAGGATCATGAGGCTTCAGGATCATTCGGCTGGAGTCCGCTGTGTACTTTTTCGCATGGCATGCTGAGAACTTGATCAAAAGATTCACTTCAATCTAGCGTTCGTCTTGTTATTTAAGCGAAGGTGTCCTAATCTTGTGAATATTTCCGTCATCCGACTGCCAAAGCCTTTCACGCACTTGCCTACATGGAGCTAAATGTGCTCCACCTACAAAAGAAATGTGTTGAATGCTCATACAGTTCCGCATCAGGGAGCTTTCTGAACAGTGAAGCAAAATGAAGCAAACCTCTTTTTAAGTTTACTTCTTTGCTCCATGAGATGGAAGGGCAAAATGCCAAAGAATTTTGGTGTGCTTCGCTCATAAGACCCTGCACGTGGCGGCTGCTTGGTGAACTACATCGCTAAAAAGACTAGCACAATACCTGTTCATGGTGCTGGGCCCCAAAAAATACGATTCACAAGTCAAAAGCAATGGCAGTTTAATCCTAATTCCAAGCACTTCTTGGGGGCCTTTTTCAGTCAATTGGATCTATCCACCATCGCAAATCTGCCCGCGCCAGGTGCTCAGGGGCGAACACTTAGAGCGTTGGCTCGCGTGCTGTTCGTTCGGAACGGAGGGGAAGTGGTGGTGGAAAAATAACGTAAGGCTTTGCAACATTTCATGTAGGGGGTGGTGTGCCACATCTGGGACAGGGCATGCCATGAAGTGGTACGCTTGCAGTGAGCAATGAATCCAATTGTTGACAGGAATTGTTGTTTGCCTGTCTTTGACCTGGTGATGCTAATGATGCAATAATAGTACTGACATTTTGAAATCAGCGGTAGTTATCATTGCTGTCATCATTTATTTTGTGAAGTTCATTGATATCACTCTAAGTGGCAAAGAAGTGCTTGGGGCTTGAGTCTTTTTAGCGCTGTAGTTCACCAAAAAGCCTTCACTGAAATGCTTCAGGAAACACACCAAAAATGTTTTTGCATGTTTCCGTTCCATCGAAGTACATAAACGGTGCCGCCGCGAAGACGAAAAAATAGGGAGGGGGTTTTCTCTGTGAAGTCGTTTCCTTTCATACCTCTATAAGAAGAAATTGACTCTGCCTCTTCAGTTTGTCATCTCTCAAATAGTTTGTCTGGCGGTGTCAATGGATGAAATTACGCACCTCGCCAATCCAGGTAAAAAGAAGAAGAAGAAAAAGAGAATCGTTCGCTGCAGGCTATTGCAAATTGTAGAATTGTAAATGCATTACTAATGAAATGTGGATGACTCTCCACTGTCTCATCGCGAAGTACAGTAAACTCTACGAAAGTCTGACCAAATCATCGCCGGGACATGATTACCCATTCAAATCAATGTTATACCTTATTTTCACTGGTATGATGCAGAGGCCTCTGTATTGAAGTAGAATCTTGCTTCTCCGAATCACCAACTGTCCTTGTCAGCGCTAAATGTGTATATATATATACAGCCATGTGTGTTGCTTGTTTTGCTCGTTTCGGAAGCATAGCTGAGCACTTTCAGTTGTCACCCAAAAACACATCATGTCGAGACTCTCTGAAGAAAAATACTTCTGAAACTCCCAGAACATACGAGGACACACAACCCATGCTGTGCTCTGGGTCAAGGTTGCCGCGAGCCTATGAGGGCCTGCGCCACTGTGCGTTGCAAATGCCAAATTGCTTTAATTGTGCCTCTTGCGGTGCCCGTTGCTATACACATCTACGAATGCCTGTCCCGTTGGCTTGCCAGGGTGTCTGCGTGGTATTTATGTAAATCGTCTCATGCTTGTTACGCTGTTTTCCTGAGATTTGGCTGCACTTGTCTTATGTTGCACTTGGTGTTCGAAAGTGAGAAGGTCTGGTCTGGCGCTCTAAAAAATAATCGCGGGCCTTAGTCTACACAGTCTACGCATAACAAGGGTGGGAAGTGCCTTGACGACGGTGCCTACTTTTTGATCCCCAGAAAATACTTGGCAATGCACAGCCCAAGAAGCCAGCATCATATGCATTCCGAATGCCTTGGAAACCCTTAGAGCCTTAGAGCAACCCACGCCATCCTAAATCACTACCATCTACCTTATCAAAGTTAGCATCATATGTATTCTAAATGCCTTTGAAACCAATAGGTTGCAGCCCAAGTCTTTCAAAGGTTTTGGCAACCCAACAAGCCAGCATCAATACGCATTCTGAATGGTTTGGAAAGCACATAGCTTGACAGTGTTTTGGGTTTGTTTGAGAAAACGATGGGCTGCAGAAGGCTACGCCAAACAATCAAAACAAGTGCCGATATCAATGTGATACATGTATTATTGAAGAGTATTGAAGAGTTAGTACCTATTGTCCTCAACGACTGTAGTATCGAATTGGAGAGAGAGAGAGAGAGAGAGAAAGAAAAAGAGATTGATCCATCTCCCTTGAATCTTACAAAAGAAACTGTCTGGTTGCATTGTTTTGCATTGGTGCCCTCTGTGCGAACACATGACACATGGCATCTGTGCCATTCCCCTTCCTCTTTCTTGTGAACAATCGATCTAGAAATATACATAAGTATTGTTTTTTGTTTGCACAGCATGAATGCTGGCAGCTTATGCGTCTCTCTGAATAGAGCTCTACATTATAGTGTTCCAACTGCCGCGCGTCTGCAACAAGCAGGTTGATATGATACCATTCGATGGTCAAAGTGTTATCAGCAAAAACAGTCACCACTTAATGACAATGAATACGTTCCATCACCTCGAATGTCTTGAGACTAAGGGACAACCAACACTCGTCTCATCAAACATGGCTGTCATCAAAAGTGGTGCTGCATTTAAATCGGCCAATATATAGATCTTTGCAGTGGCCCTTAGCCTGTGAGGTGAAAATTGCAAATGCACAAGCACTGTTTTGTGTGAGCCACCTTCCGATCCAAGAATCCAAAAAGTGTTACAGCGCTTACGTGAGTCGGCCCTGGCTCTCTCCTCGGAAAAACATAGAACAACGAGGGAGAAAGACAGCTTGGCCACAGAA